CCCCACGAACTTATACTGATAAATAAAAGTATTATGGCCCCAAGTGATTGACGTTTGAGGACTATATCTTGTGACTGAAATTCAGGTTATATAATTGATCGTAAAACTACATTGAAGTTATTTTAGTATCAGAAGAGGTTTTGTGAAGATTTTAGTAATTTCGATTGTTGAGATCATGAGTCAATTGAAGCTAGACCACTATGGAAAACCTGGAAACACTGGACGGCCGTTTCGTCCTACTGTGGAACTCCTCAGCAGTGCGCACACACGATCCCGCTTCAATTGACTCACGATCTCGACTACTAAAAATACCATAATATCCACAAAAAAACCTTTTGATATCAAATATTACATTGTTTGGAGATCAGAATGTGTGATAAAAATAGCTTTCCTTGTATGTTGATCTCATTGATACTGTTATTTCTTAAAGACAATCATAAATATTTCATTTAGTCTTTATATGAGTTTTTGTTTTTAACTTTTAAGTCACAGTGTTGTTTTGTATTTTAATATAGCTCTTAAGATTAAGTTTACTCTCTTATAATCCAAATATTTAGAGCAATTTCTATTTAATATAAACATTCAATCATATATTTCATTTAATTACTGATTATTATAAATAAATAGGTTAATTTTCTAGTCGATACCATAAGTAGTTAAAACAAATGAAATATTTAACAGTAATACTAACTTAACTAAATACAATTAGTATCAGAAGGGTTTTTGTGGATATTATAGTAATTTTTACTAGTTGAGATCATGAGTTAATTGAAGCTAGACCACCATGGAAAACCTGGAAGCACTGAACGACCATTTCATCCTATGGTGAGACTCCTCAGCAGAGCGCATCTACAATCCCGCCTCTCGAGATCCAAGTCTAGGATCTATCGTTCCTAGCAATCACAGTAATTACATAACAATGAATATGTTTAAAAAGGAATGAATTAAAATCTTTTAAAATCTGAACTGATAACGAAGAAAAACAAGATAAATCTAAGGAATATGATGGTCTTGAGTGCTGTTAGACAAGACAATTAATTATTTAGTTGACGAATATTAGGAAAAAGATAAAGCAATCAACTGAAATATCCGTACATTAAGCTAATATTTTACAACTTCAATTACAGTAAACAATGCTAATTCTATCTTTTTTAAACTACAGATAGTAGCTGAATTTCATAATGGAAACTTTATTTGATAACGCCTCCAGTATAATTAGAAATACATTTAAGTTAGTCGGTATATATATATAGGTTGCAATGATTAGAATTGATGAACTGCGTAATTGTCACCAAACACAAAGTATAGTAAAAATATATTGAAAATCCATAAAGTGATATAACAAAAATGTATTGAAAGTCAATCTAACATTCACCTTAACTCGACAAGAATTTCCTTCCTCATAAGTTGTATTTGCGGATGAAACAACCCCAACAGGAAGACAAGTCAAAAATGGCTTACAAAATAAGAGACAGATTAGCCATACCACTTTTTAACACAAAGATAAGGCTTGAATTTATAGACTGTCAAATCTTCCGCTATGTAAAATTTTCATATTCAGCTTCTCTTAAAACCAGTTTTTCTGACTTGAGTATTTTTGTAAAACGTTTGTGGCACAAATAGGTGAGTAAAATTGACTAGGTATTTAACAACAGAAATATATAAATAAAGCACGAAGACCAAGATTCACAGAATAATATGAATTCGTTTTATTTCAAGGCGTCTCATCAATTGTAAATAGTCTAAATTTACATCATTAAAATTATTATGCCATGTTTTGTATTACCGGAATCAATAAAGTTTAGTTCGAAATGACAAGAGAAACAACACATTTGACATAACATCATAAGAAAAGAGAAGGGGGTGAAGTAATACAAGATAATTAGTAGAAATAAATTGTTAACAAATGAGCAATAATCAAGGCATCTACTTGACATGATATTCAAGTTATTATCATTACTGAACGTCAGAATTTTTTAAAATCTTAATTTCTAAAATTGATAGATTTGTATTCACTTCTAGATAATCATGGTGGATATTGTTCGTACATGTGATTGGAAAAAGCATACTTTGTCCTGCCAATAAAATATGCTTCTCAAAACCAAGTAATTAGTAGTTGATTTTGCTTTGATAATTGTAAAACTAGACCTCAACTCATTAGTTAGTAGATATCATGTTTGTTAATTCTATGGAATTCCAGAAGTCATCTACATATAGTATCTCGGGTATAGAATACTTAGAGACACTGAACTACAACAAAATAGTTGTCAAGTATTTTCTAGTTCTGAGATGTTCATCAATTTGTCAATTTATGCCGACAATTATATCAAAAATTTAGTATTATCTAGAGCAAGTAGAATTTTGTCGCAGAGTTCATGAGAAATGATCTGACAAAGAATTTTACAAAATTTTAGTAAGGAAATGAATAAAAGGCTAATAAATAGCTGAATAGTGTAGAACTTATAGTAGTGGAAAGGGGATTTAATGTTTAAAACATCCAGCTTTTGATCATTAGTTCTCAGGTTCAAGCCACAACTCATCAACATTGATTGATGCAACTTAACAGTATTACTAGTCCCCACACAACTGAAGTATGGCTCTAAGTCTAGTAGTTAAACATGCAGGTCGTAAATAGGTTAACAGTAATAACATTCATTTGTTAAAGGAATAAATGTAAATATTCCGATAATACAACTCATATAGTTCTCCGTTTACCATCTCATATATAAATTTCCTCTTAAACTGAATGGTTTTAAAGATCATATTACCTACTTATGTCCTGAAGATTATACTACATAGTTATATGCATATAGTTGGTTGTCTTTATCTTCAAGGTGTCATATTTCACTGGAACTGTAAAAGAAACAAAGATATTCTGGTTATCTGAAAATTATAGTTACAATCTGTGATAATGTAAAATAGTTTTATTTTCGGTGAAACCATAAGTCATTACTTGCATGTTACATGACTGACATACAATTTATTGTTGAGACCAATGAAGACAATTTTAAATGTTGACTAATGTTTAATCATAAATGCCAATAGTGATATTTGTCAGTGATACACAGTGTACAAATAACGCAACGTGTTTTCATGTATTCAAACTCCTTGCAGACTATTTAAAATATAAAACTGTACGACTGATAATTCTTAGAAAATATAATAAAACGCACAAATGACACTGCATTGGCAAAATTGATGATGAGGACATATATATCACACTCCATGTCAACCTAAAACACTAATTTCAGGGATAGGTATTCTCATTTCTACTAATAATAATCTTTAAACGACTAGTTTCTCGAAATATTGACACCTATCATTTGAATTAGTGTTCTAGGTTTACAAGCAATCTTATAGATATTTAAATGATTAACACTGGTAACACACAAAATGTCATTTATCACTTAGTTCTGAAGATCAATATTTCTGCCAGTTTTTATCCCTCTTTGGTTGTTTAGTGTATTATTCTCATTATTGTGTTGTGTTATAATACAGTCAAACTATTATAAGAAAATTAGTTAAACATTTATCGGATATGGTAATACTTTTGATTTAACATAACATATTGTGAACTTCCGATAAAACATATATTCCTAGAAAGTCCGAGGAAGGAAAATTATGCACAAATACAGGAACAGAAATCAAACCAATGAGACACAACCAAAACAAAGAAGTAAACAATGACGAATCTAAGGTCGATAAGAACCAGTCAACATCGAGGTGTACAGAACAAGCTGTGAAACGCATATGGAGAAATTCGAACACTTCACTTTTATCTGAAGTTTGTGCTGATGATGTCATTCAGAAGGACGATGAAAGCTCCACGAACAAACCATCTAGCTCAGAGGACAAAACTCCATCAAAATCACCCACCTGAGCTACAAATCTTCCCCACCATCTTGAAGGAAATGATGTGAGATCCTACAATTAATCAACTGACAGCATTTAGATGGGGTATTAATTTGTTATTTTCATCAGAGCTACCTATATACTGCGCATCTTACAACAATGCAAACATTGCAGTTGCATTATGATGCTTTAAATGTTTCAACTAATAAATATTTTTTAACTTCGTGTATTTATTTATCGGAATTTGCACAAACCTCAAAATATATCCTGAAACTAAATATCGTACAATTCAAGTAGAAACATTAGTGAGTTTTTTCATCGTCCTCTGGAGAAACGACTATTATATGACAACCCATAGATTAAATATGCATCATGCAACGAAAACTCCAGAAGAGCAAAACTGGACCGACATATTTGTGGGTAAAGAAGTTTATCACCTAATACACAATATTGCATTATTTAGAGGTTAAGTGGATGTAAGACATGCATTCTCGCAATAATCTATATTTTGTGCTAAGAATCTTTTGCTACAACCAAAGAAATTTTACTAAATAAAGAGGTTGATACTATTGCCTCAAAAACATTTGGCAAAGGAGACTAGGTGAATATTCTTAGTCCTATATAATCGTATTGTCCAACTTACGCACTTAATGCTAGATTTAGACGATGACTTTGACTACTCAACTGATCATGTGTGAATTATGTAAATAAAATGTTTTCCAAACATCATAGTCTAAGCTGAAAAAAGACAAAACGAATACCTACGTTTAGCAAGTACGTTACAGAATGACAAAATGTTAATGCTTTTTCCAGTACCTTAACAAGTGTAACTTCAAATAGTCTCTTAACTGAACAATAAATAACAACCCCTGATGATGAATCTTTCATATTAAAGATTGTACAGTTAACAAATGCATATAATCAACAAAGTCTGGTATATTTCAATCGTTTCTTTTATATTATCTATTAGGAGTATGCTTTATCTTTCTTAAGCTGTACCGGGGTTGAGAAAACTCGGACGTAAGCTACAGAGTAGTAAGTTTGAGGCCTATGTCGACTAATTTCGCTGTACGATAAGAAAGTTTTAAAGTTTGAAGCACAAATCCACTTATCTACCGATAATATAAACAATAATGGGTTTGATATTTGTGGTACAGTACGTTTGTATTTTCATGGAAACCAGACATGCATCTCTACTATATCCACAAAACATTTATAGACTTGAATATAGACATATATTCTACAGCAATGCAAGGCTAAGTTGTTCAGGTAAACAGTACACCTTTCTGCCTTAGAGAAGCCGAACGATTGTCCATTCTTTTCTGAAGTATAAATTTCAAAAATTACGAAACAAAAATCATATTATGAAAAAGTTCAATGAGATTAGTAGAATTCGTATTATATTGGTTTATTTTACAATGTGGAAACGGTCTGTGACTCTGCAACAAAGAAATTATGAACATTTTTGAATTTATTAGTCGAATTGCGTGGCGGTAGCTTAGAATATATAAGTTCTAAGACAGCGTATGAATACTGTCGAATAAAAGAAAGTCAAACAATTGTATCATGGCTTGTGACCATAACATAAAATGGCCAAGTCTGAGAGAACTGGACAGAAGTAAACGAATATTTGTACATATAAATAGAGAAATTCGAAAATCTTTAATATCTTGAATCTCTTATAGGTGAGATCTTGAAGAATCCTGATTTCTCAAAATACTAGAGATAGGCTTCTCCGTGTTTCGACTTAAACGGGAAATTTCAGCATTTAATCGTGCATTAATCATTGCCTGCTCAACATTATGTTCAACTTCTTCATCTTCGTCTTCCTTTTCAATATTTTCCTCTTCATCATCATTTTGTAAACTTTCTTTAGCTAGCTTTACGGCCAAAAATTCGTTGTAATGTTGCTTCCGTTTTTCACGAAATTTTCTCTGATGTTCATCTTCCTCCTGGTCAACTTTTGTGGCACTTGGCTAAGATCAAAAAAATTAAATTAACAATAAGTATTACGTAGATTGAGATTTCCATGTCATTAAAACAATTTCAATCAATTAATTTAAACAGAATAGTGTAATAAAACAAAGGTGAAGATCATAGACACATTCTGATTCATATGGTTTTGGACATTCCATAGTTATCAATTGTTCAACCTCGTCCATCCATCTCTTCACAGCTTCACTCAACTTTTATGTGGCTTATATTTATCTTGGTGAGTATTTGTACCAATATACAAATGCTGACACGAGAACCAACCTTAATGTTTTGTAGTTAGATTTAGTGCTACTTATCTGAACACAAATATCATACGATAAGCATACTAAAGGTTTATTTAACTACGTCTCATATAAGAATAGGAATATTCATCTGCAGCAAGAAACTAATGTGCATATAATATTTAATAGACATCATGGAAATCGCTTTTTGTAAATAAATAACAAGCAAGTAAAAGCCATCACATTATACACCTTGATAACATTAAGAAACCAATTGTTGAGATAGTGAATCATTTTTCAAGATATTCAAGAGGCAATTCATGTAGTAGGTTGATTGTCTTAAAATAAATCTTAGAGGGTAGTAATACAATGTTGCAAGTAGTCAACTTGCAGCTAGCCTTTTCAGGAAGCGTGCTGCTTAACATACCGTATAAACGAAGGTTTCAGCTTGGTCACTGAGACCCGCTACTACATATTACATAACTTGTTTATCAAGTGTGAGTTCATGCGCTAAGCTTTCAAACAAACTGTGTGACTAGTGATATTAACCGGTTACTCAAAGGTGGAACGCTTGAAAGTCGAGTGTATTAACTACAAAGTCACGGCTACATAAGGTGTCCTGACTATTATCCGGCCTAGGGTGGTGTGATAACGTCCTATTTCTATATTAAATTGCATTTTTTCTTTTCCTTATTTATAATCACTTTATGTTTATTTGACCACTAGTTTTCATAAATGCCTTGAGAAGTATATGAGTGGCTAAATTGTCCAAAACGTATAGCGCAAATACATTATAAATTTCGGATCAACTTCGCCTACTCATTCATTTATTTAAAAAATTTCCCGATTGGTTAGATAGCGATGAATATTGAGAACTGTTCACAAAAAAGAATCAGCCCAACTTAACAGTTGGTATGAGGCAAACCATTTACGCATACACATGTCATGTAAATAAAACTGAAAAGGAGACATATCTACTGTTCATATAAACTGTATCAAGAATATTTGTGCGATACAGTTTCACTGATTGGAAAAGGACAAGTCATTCGTAACATATTTCACTAATTCCCGACCGACATAATGCTTTCGTGTTCAACACAAATACGTTAAATCCGTACAATTGTATATTGATTTTAGAATAAAAATTTTGACGGAGGGTGTGACTAACGAATACATTACATCAATCCAAACTTGTCCTCGGTTGTGTCATTAATTCTAATAACTAATATGTACACCATTTTAATTTACCCATATTTGTTTGCTTATCAACCCATATATTTGTTAATCATCCAGCTAGAACTTCAGTCTAATCGTGTTCATTACTATTGTAAATGTCAATTAATTCAATTAGCTAAGTATACATTTCTATTCGCAATCTTATTTAACCTATTATTCCTCGATCAGCGAGTTAAAGACGACAAACACAACCAATAAATCAGCTACAAAGTAGGACTAGGTACACATATACATCGATCCAAGTTGCCACACTTCATTAGCACAGCAAGATGAACAACGGACTCATAGAAGTAGTGAATTCAATGGGGGTAACATATAAAATGATTGCATATGACGATATAGTACAGGAAGAAAGATTTATTTCGTAGAAAGAAAGATATGAAGCGATTTTAATCTCATAGTTTAAAGATAGACAGAGAGTGTATACACTTACGCCACTGTGATCGGTTCTGAGCCATGTCACCAAGAGTCTCCAACCATTGGTTACGATAGTCACACGGACCCCAACCAAGTAGTCTGCATCTACCAACATGGCTCAGACTAGAAGTTAGTGACTCCAAGCACTGATGCTACGCCTTGGTTATACAAACACAACGGTTGCCTAGAATGCAAAGAGTGAGTTGTGAAGAGGCTTTTGATCCAAGTCAGGTGACGGTATAGACCTGCACTGAGCCGTTGATAATGTTGATCCAAGCGTAATGATGATTAAAGTAGGATTAGGTTAGGAAAAAAATGGTGAAAGATATCCCACAAGTTGTGTACAGTGACACATACTTGGAGACTACAATCCTCGAGAAGAGGCATGACAAAAAGGTATGGTTTGGAATTATCGAAATGGAAAAAATTCATCCGTTTTCCCCCACTTATCTGTCCTTTTTGGATATTTTTTCGTCTTTCTATTTCGCTTAGCTTCTATTTTTTTTAAAATTGGGTTTGATTCGTTACTGAGATACTTCTTTGTATATCTACACTGACAAAGCATAACAAGGACTAAGCGATCTATATATTTTGAAACATTAACTAGTAAAACAATGACAAGCCGTTGCTTCAAATAGCCTACAGTGGTTTACAGGTGGACGATCTTAAAAGCTCTAAAAACAGAATGATAGCTATCGACAAAGCCAAGGATTACCTGAAAGTCTTTCGGATTAGTGTAGTAAACTCATAAACTTATCTGGCAACAAGAGAATCATTGCTTTAAAAATAAATTGGCATTAGGTACACTCCTATGTAGGCGCCCCCAAATGCCCTGGTATGGCAGAGAGTGGGGTGGGTTACCCTCTGCTAGGGAAGTCCTACTCACTGCCCCCTCGTGGCGGGGGTGCTGTTTACGAAAATGAGAGGACAAAAGCGAACGTCCGGCGCTATAACTGGATCCCAAACCAATAGTGCACATGGGCTCCAGTATCCTGAGTGAAAGAATGGCGAATGAACCGATTTCTTGGTCACTGGCTTCCATGGAACTGCATCTCCTCACGATGCTCCACTGCCTTGTGGGTTAGACCTTTAGGTCGAAGGCTTGGGGTGTGGCCCCCTAAGAAAACCACCTGCTTCGGTTTGGGCACCCAGGCAGTATCTCAGCCTACACACAAATATAATGATAATGAAAATCATGATATTCACTGAAAACTCTGTTTTCGCTGCGATTTACTGTCAAACAATTCACATTATTATTATTACTATTATTTACCACGTCATTTATTCACTCTTTCATTCCCACTCTGTCTATCCTTATTTTTCGACTAATACAGCAGCTCGCCTATGGTGGAAATTCGGCTCTGTCTAAACGTTCTCGAGTCACTGCCTGGTTGAAAATTGTATGTTATCACCGAATATGAGTACTGAAGCAGTTTTTCTGAAACCACGTGCACCATTCAAACTGGCTGACTTCAACGTTCTCACACTTATGCAGATCGAACAACAGATAGGGCTGGCTATGTCTTTGGAAAGTCTTAATATTGACGTTTGTTGTCTATCCGAGACTAATATTCAAGACTTTGGTGAAGTACTACAAACTTTAGGCACAGTCATTGCCGATGTGGCACCTGGCGTACTCCTTCTGCATCTCAAGCTTAGACTCAGATTGATCACATCGCGATCAGCTATCGCCGGCGTGGTTGTGTACAAGACTGCCGCTCCTTTTGGAGTACCTATCTGGACTCTGATTATGCCCTGGTCTGCGCCAATCTTACCTTACTTTTCAGTGGACAACGAAGTGACCGTCACCAAAGGATTGATGTTAGCAAGCTGGTTGCAACTCCTGTTGCTAGTAAATATAGAACCGAGTTAACTTCTAGGCTAGCTACCATTCCACCGAAAAGTATAGATGAACATTGGTTGCAATTGCACGACGCCATGAAGATGGCGAGTAAAGTCACTTGTGGGTTCACGAAACGTCCCGCTTATAAGCACTGGGTTTCTTCTGGTTCCTTACAACTCATTGAAGCCCGTCGATCTACTCCGGGTGACCGTGAGTTCGACCACAGACGAAGGATGTTACGTAATGAAATCGGGCAAAGCTTGCGTAAGGACCGAGAAGCCTGGTGGTCGGAGCGTGCTAATGAGCAGAAAGCAGCAGCTGCATCTGGTAATTACCGGAAGCTCTTCCAACTCATCCGAGCCACTGGCAGCAAGAAGTCTGGTGTGAGCGAAACAATCTGCGAGGATGATGGAACGCCAATCACTAACATCCATCGACGTCTTGGACGATGGGCAGAATTCTTTGAAGGGCAGTTTAACTGGCCTGCTGCTCCGGCAACATCGGTCAGACTGTCCTGCCCTCCATGGACGGTGACGACTGATCCACCAAATGAGGCAGAAGTCCGCAAGGAACTCCAACTCTTGAAACGCTACAAATCACCGGGCCCAGATGACTTACCTCCGGCTTTTTAAAGATGGTGGTGACTTTCTGACTAAGGGACTGACGACGTTGTTTACAAAGGTCTGGGAACTAGAAAGTGTACCAACGTCATGGAATGAGTCGATAGTTGTCCCTATCTTTAAAAATGGTTCACGTCGTTCCTGTAACAACTATCGGGGGATAAGTCTACTTCCGATTGCGTCCAAGTTATTGGCTTCCATCATACTTCGTAGGTTGTTCAAAACCCGAGAAGGATTGACTCGCGAGGAGCAGGCTGGGTTTCGTTCTGGTCGAGGATGTATTGATCATATCTTCACCCTCCGCCAAGTGTTAGAACACCGCCATACTTATCAAAGGCCAACAATCGTAGTGTTTCTTGATATCAGGGCTGCCTTCGATTCGTTGGACAGAACTGTTCTCTGGGATTGTCTATTGAAGAAGGGTGTGCCTGAGAAGTTTATTAACATCCTAAAAGCCCTATACACAAACACCTCAGGCAGAGTGAGGGCATACAACCACCTTTCTCCACTATTCCATTCGAGCAGTGGGGTTAGGCAGGGTTGCCCAATCTCACCATTCCTCTTCAACTTTGCCATCGATGACATTCTGGAAACAGCTCTGACGGATGTAAGTAATGGTGGTGTGGATCTGTTGCCTGGAGAAAGACTTCTCGACCTTGAGTGGGCGGATGATACTGTCTTACTGTGCGAGAATGCCCAAGCCATGCAATCCGCACTTAATCAGTTGGCAATCAGTGTTCGTAGGTATGGTATGTGCTTTGCACCTTCGAAGTGCAAAGTTCTTCTACAAGACTGACAGGATTCTAATCCTGTACTCACTCTGGATGGTCAGCAGATAGAAGTAGTTGTATTTATTATTTATTTATTTTAACACATAGGTACTGGTACAAGGAGGCACCAAATACATATGCGCCACACGAATCTCAATTGATTTGTGTGAGGGCTGTGATACTGCCCGGGTGCCCAAACCGAAGCAGGTGGTTTTCTTAGGGGGCCACACCCCGAGCCTTTGACCTGAACGTCTGATCCACAAGGCAGTGGAGCATCGTGAGGAGATGCAGTCCCATGGTAGCCGGTGACCAACGATTGGTTCATACGCCATTTGTTCCTTCAGGATACTGGAGCCAGCCCATGTGCACCATTGGTTTTTGGATCCGGTTAAAGCGCCGGAAATTCGCTTTTCGTCCTCTCATTTTCGTAAACAACACCCCCGCCACGTGAAGGCAGTGAGTAGGACTTCCCTGGCAGGGGCTATGTACGCGTGGCCATATGAGAGCATTTCGAGAGGGAGAGCGGACTCTCCCCACTCTCGGCCGTACCAGGGCATTTGGGGGCATCGGTCAGAGAAGTTCGTGTATCTAGGTAGCTGCATAAGTGCTGGTGGTGGTGTGAGTGATGAGATCAATGCACGTATAGTGAAAGCCAGAGCGGCTTATGCCAATCTGGGCCATCTTTGGCGCCTTCGTGATGTTAGTCTGGCTGTAAAAGGTCGGATTTACAACGGGACGGTGAGAGCAGTTTTGCTCTATGCTTGTGAAACCTGGCCTCTCCGAGTTGAGGATGTTAGACGACTCTCTTTGTTCAATCGTCGCTGTCTCCGACGGATTGCTGGCATCCAGTGGCAACACCATGTCAGTAATGCAGAGGTTCGGCATCGTGTGTTCGGTCACAGAGACGATAATGAAATTGGTGTCACCATCTGGAAACACCGACTTCGGTGGCTTGGACATGTTCTACGAATGTCGTCCCAGAGAATTCCTCGTCGTGTATTATTTGCCGACTCTGGGACTGGTTGGAAAAGGCGGAGAGGTGGTCAGTGTATGACATGGTGTCGTGGTATGAAAGAAAGTTGCAAAGGGCTGGCTTGTGTTGGTTCTTCACGACTCCCTGGCTGGGGTCCGAGAGATGGTGTAACACAGTGGCTAGAAACGTTATCAGATATGGCTCAGAATAGAAGCCAATGACGCATATATATTTGGTGCCCCCCTGTACCAATATTTGTGTTCAAATAAATAAATAAAATAAATGTAGGCAGTCAGAAATCTGAGATGATTAGACATAAAAAAATGTTCCCTATGTTCTTTCTCAACCTGCGAAGCTTGCTTCAACAATGTTCATCCTGATTTGATAGGACCCCTGCCAAATTCAAATGGATATGCTTAGCTCTTGACGTGTGTGGACCGTAACACACGATGGTCAGAAGCAGTACCTATCAAGGACAACACGCCTGACACGGTGGTCTACACCTTTGCCAAATGAGTGGTAAACTTCGGTCGCCCTTCAACCATCACTACAGACCGTGGACGCCAGTTCCAACTTACTGTTGTCTCACTACACTACTAGGAATTACACGATTCCAAACGACCGCCTACTACTCACAAGCCAACAGGTTAGTAGAACGATTTCATCGATAGTTGAGAGCCTCGCTTCCACTAGTGTTACTCAGTATTCACAATGCAGTGAAAGCTAACACTGGATAAACTGCAGCACAAATCGTTTACAGAACACCGTTTCAAAAGAACTTGTGGGTCCCCCTTCTTCCTTAATGAATGTAGGTCTACAGTCATACACGAGCAGGCTTACAAACGCCATGCATTTAATCAAACCCGTTTCCACACAACCGCTATCAACTGTTTTCGTCCGACCTGTCTTATAACAAAGTACACACGTTTTAGTATGTCGCAACTTACTACAATGAACTCTCGAAATGGTATACGAAGGGTCTTTCAACGTCCATCGCAAACCTAAGTACTATATCATCAATAAGAACGGAACTAACGATAACGTCAGCCCTGACAGCATTAATGTTGCTTATCTAAATGGAGACAAATCATGTTGAGTCTCCTCCTGTACAATCAAACGATGAGAGCCTCAAAATTATGATACCACCGCCGATGAGCAACAACCACGACGAAAATTCGCTGGTATCCGAAAACAAGTTCTGGAAATAGTAAGATTTTCAAGACACTCAAACGACTACCGTACGTAGGACACTGCATAACGTTTCATTTCATCTCGTTTCTTGCGCCCCACAATAATTTTGTTAGGGTTTTTTTGTATTTTTGCATCAAAAAGATCTTTCACTTTTAATGTTTATATGTGTATATTTTTTCTGAGAAAAAACAACCTTTTGCACAGAAATTTCTCACGCTATAGCATGATATACGTACACATATATACCAGGTTTTTTCGGATGTTCTGCTTCCTTCGAAAGTGCGAGTGTATTTTGACATGCGCTTAAACTCTGACTTGTTCTCTTTTCCAGGACGGCTGGAAAAGATGAAAAACTGACAAAGAATACGACGAATCGAGATTTCCATTGTACATTTAGTATTGTTATATTGTACTTTGTGGTCTCCCATATTGGGGAAAGACGAACAGATGTTGCTGGACATAGAAAGCTATCAGAAGAGTTTTTACCAACGACAAGCTCGTTGGGTTAAAACTTCTGGCTGACCACGTCCTAGGGTCATCATTACCCCACTAAAGCGAGTGAACTACAACAGTAAATAAATGCCCAAAATAAATTGTTACAATATATGGTAAAAGTGGCAATGAATCCCAAGACCAAAGAGTCTATACTGCTATCATTAATGATAGTTTATAAAAGACTAATTAAAGGAAGTGAAATGTGTGAAAAAGAACCTGAACGATTACTTTCCGAAAATGAGCAAAAACTAAAAATCCAGCCAAGCTACAAGAACATAATATTTGGCATACACATGAAGAGTGTAGTTTACCAGGATACGTGGAGAATAGAAAACACGTAGCTGAAAAGTCCCACAAGTATTGGGTAGTGAGTTAATGTGCTGGATTTCAAATGAGGTTAAAAAAGTGAGGCATTTTAAAAATCAACTAAATCAGAGTAGTGATATAGATATTGCTTTTACATAACCTAAGCAGGTATAAAATACTCTGAAATAATAAGTAAATGCATGTGGGACTTACCAGCTGCTGGTCGGGATCCTTTGAAGCCGCAGAAAGCCTGGCAGCTAAATCTTCTGCAGTAAATAATGGTCCAGAAGTGACGGTAGAACCATCTTCAGAATCAAAAACGTAAGGTGTTTTTGGTTCTTCAATTTTCATATGACCATACGTCTTATCAGCGGGATGATAGGTAGCTAGAATATTTGATTCATCCCACTGGAAGCTTTTCTGAGGTGCCTGATCACTAGACTTTTTCAATATACTTTTAGAAACCTTTCTTTCTTCTGAAGCCTTGGACATCGTGAAAGTAGCGCACTATTTCAAATGGTTTCAGGTTCTAGACGGAATAGAAGCTTACGCTCAACAGGCTTCCGTATATAGTAGCAGTGGATTAATGATCCCTGTATGTAGATAACTAGGTAAATTTAACAATAAAAGAGAAAGATATGGTAAATTATAGCGAGGTGTCATCCCTAGTCCTTAAGAGTATGTCAAGATTTCTCATAAAGGACTACTTGGAATTCGCTTGGACTCGCTAAGCCAGCAGTTGTTCAGTCCCAAGGGGTGGAAGGTATGCGTACAGCCCGTTCTATCGTGTTATTACTCCATTCTCTGGGTGTTACCCCTAGTGTTTGTGTTGAGACTGAGCTTACGTAGGTGTTTGAGGGGATGTCCAGAAGTGCTTAAGATGCCATGAGCCATCAGGATGTTAACTTTCAGACGCCTATAATCAAGTGGTAAAACTTCAGTTGTTAGAGGAGCTCTTCACAAGACTTAAATGTGAGTCCCTGAACTGATTTTGTGGCTCACCGCTGAATGCGTTCTAGTGTGCTCCTAACCTTTTAGAGTGAGGGAAGAAACACTATGTTTCCATACTCTAAATGGGAACGAATAGAGCGGTTGAAGATTAGGAGGAAAGTCCGTTCTCACAACTGGCCGAAAATGCTATTCAACGTTACCAGTGTAAGGTTTGCTCGAAAATCATTTTTGTCGCATTTAGCGTAAGATTTCATAGGGTACCAACACTCCCAGATCTTTTTTGACTTGAGATACCTCTAGGTGGGAGTTACCTAAGTTAAAGTCGTAGTCTGCAACATGTCTCAGGTGGGCTGCTTCACACTTTCGAGCGTTAAAGATAAGCTTTTTGTTGTCTATCCATCTTTGAAGTCGAGTCAGATTCTCCTGAGTTGCCAGTTTGCCCTCCTGGTTGCAAACTATTTTCTACGTTTCTACTCATCAACGGAAAGTAATAAATCTGACGACACATTCTGTGCAAGACAGTTTGTATAAATTACGAAAAATAGAGGACTCTGTACTGAAGCTTGGGGGAACCCAGTAGAATATTCTATTACTTACTTACTTACTTACTTACTTACGCCTGTTACTCCCAATGGAGCATAGGCCGCCGACCAGTATTCTCCAACCCACTCTGTCCTGGGCCTTCTTTTCTAGTTCCATCCAATTCTTGTTCATTTTTCTCATATCTATCTCCATTTCCCGGCGTAATGTATTCTTTGGTCTTCCTCTCCTCCTTCGACCTTGAGGATTCCATATGAGGGCTTGTCTTGTGACGCAGTTGGGTGTTTTCCTCAATGTGTGTCCTATCTACTTCCAGCGTTTCTTCCTGATTTCTTCCTACACTGGGATCTGATTTGTTCTCTCCCACAGTAGGTTGTTGCTAATAGTGTCCGGCCAGCGGATCTGAAGTATTTTGCGTAGACAACTGTTAATAAACACCTGTATCTTTTGGATGATGGATTTCGTAGTTTTCCAGGTTTACAGTAGAACTGTCTTGACATTTGTATTGAAAATTCTGACTTTGGTGTTGGTTGCTAATTGTTTTGAGTTCCAGATATTCTTCAGTTGTAAATATGCTGCTCTTGCTTTGCCAATCCGTTCCTTCACATCTGCATCAGATCCACCGTGTTCATCGATGATACTGCCCAAATATGTAAAGGTGTTTACATCTTCCAAAGCTTCTCCGTCAATTGTGATTGGATTGGTACATGTTGTGTTGCATCGAAGAATCTTGCTTTTCCCTTTGTATATATTGAGACCTATTGCTGCTGGGGCTGCAGCTACACTGGTCGTCTTCTCCTGCATTTGTTGTTGCGTTTGCGATAGAAGAGCCAGATCATCTGCAAAGTCTAGATCTTCCAACTACATTCCAGCTGTCAACTATATCCCGTGCTTCTCTTCAGATGTTGATGTCTTCATGATCCAGTCGATCACCAGGAGAAAGAGAAAGGGTGAGAGTAAGCAACCTTAGCCTGACACCGGTCTTTACTTCGAACTACTTTGTCAACTGTCCTCCATGAACGATTTCGCAGTTTAATCCATCATAGGAAGTCCGCATGATATTGACTATCTTCTGAGGCACGCCGTAGTGTCGAAGAAGCTTCCATAGGGTCGTTCTGTCCACGCTATCAAATGCTTTTTCGTAGTCAATGAAGTTGATATAGAGTGATGAATTCCATCCAATTGATTGTTCCACAATGATCCGTAGAGTTGCGATTCGGTCTGTGCACGATCTATCCTTACGGAATCCTGCCTGTTGGTCGCGAAGTTGGGCGTCTACAGAGTCCTTCATCCTGTTTAACAATACCCTGTTGAAGACTTTTCCTGGTATTGAAAGAAGAGTGATGTGCCTGTAGTTGTCACAGTTGCTGAGATCGCCTTTCTTTGGTATTTTGACTAGAACTCCTTCTTTCCAGTCTTTTGGTACCTGTTCCTCATCCCAGATCTTTTTGAAGAGAATGTGGAGTATCCTTGCAGTTGCCGCTACGTCTGCTTTCAGTGCCTCTGCTGGAATGCTGTCTAGTCCTGCTGCTTTGCCACTCTTGATTTGTCTGATAGCCATGCTGATTTCTTCAATTGTCGGTGCGCCAACATCAATTGGGAGGAGGAGCCGTATTAAATTTTTGTGATATTGTCCTCCCCGTTGTCCAGTGCCTCTTGAGTTTCAATTTCATCTTGGCGACCAGCAAGTGATGATCTGATGTTATATCAGCTCCTCTCTTTGTTCTCACGTCCTCCATCGTCCTCCTGAACTTTTGTTGATGCAGATATGGTCGATTTGGTTCTGTGTGGTGTGATCCGGTGAAGTCCATGTGGTTTTGTGTATGCGTTTATGTGGGAATATAGTCCCGCCTATGACCAGTTTATTGAAGGCACATAGATTTGCAAATCTCTCACCATTTTCGTTCCTTTCTCCGAGTCCGTGTCGTCCCATGATCTCTTCATATCCGGTGTTGTCAATTCCAACCTTGGCATTTAGGTCTCCCATCAGAATAGTCAGGTCCTTTGTTGGGCACTTCTCGACGATTGACTGAAGCCTATCGTAGAATTGATCTTTAGCATCTTCATTGTATTCGTTGGTAGGCGCGTAGCATTGGATATCGCTCATTATAATGCCCTCTTTCTTCGATTTGAAGCAGTCTTTGATGATCCTTGGTCCATGAGATTCCCATCATATAAGTGCATTTTGTGCTTGTTTGGACAGCATCAATGCAACTCCTTGTGTGTGTGGAGCATTTTCTTGTTCATGTTCGGAGTATAACAGCAGCTCCCCTGAAGCTAGTCGTTGTTGTCCAACTTGCGTCCAATGTGTTTCACTGATCCCAAGCACCTCTAGGTTGTATCTCCTCATTTCTGCAGCAATTTGGAAAAATCTCCCAGTCTCCCACATTGTGCGAGCATTTCATGTACCTAAATAAATGGTTGCTCTGGTTGTCAGAAGGGGCATCGGCCTCGTGACTTCCGAAGGAACTCGGCTTTCATCATGAGGCGTCATAACTCTTCTAAATGAAGACCTTCTGAGTCCCAGGGCAGAGTTTAAATGGTTTGAATAATTTTTTCTAGTTAACGTTTTTTAGCGAGTTAGTTTTCTACGGGATGGGGACGCTAACCCCAGGCCCAACCCTCCTCCATTATCCGGTCTTGGGACCGGCAGTAGCCTCCGGAAAGGGACTCCAGGCGGAGTTAGAATATTCTATAGTCTGGGAAAAAGTGAAGTTAACACTGACTTTAAAAGTCAGTTAATTAGATATCAAGTAAGTCGACCAATTAATGGTGATTTGATACATAATCGTTTGAGCCTACTGATGATAGATATGCGATCGACCCTATCAAACGCTTTTAAGAAGTCAAGATATATGACGTCAACCTTCCCATTGCGATCGAGGATGGTTATCCATCTGTCCACCGTATTCAGTAAGTTGGTTATACAAGAATGACTTTTCGAAACCGTGTTGTTGGGGTGAAAAGAAGCCTAGGACAGTAAGTACTCACGTAGACTGTAGCATTCCAGAGTATTGAGAGAAGCGCTACTAGTCTGTAGCCTATAGGTTCGTTGCATCAACCTTTTTTGAAAATTGATATGATGAGAGCCAGCTTCAAGTTTTCTGGTAGCGTATCTTGACTTGGCGAATGTGAGAACATCACGCTAAGCGGTGTTGCCAAGTCAGAAGCTACTTCCCTAAGTATAGCAAAATGAAAAATGTACCGGACAGGAGGTGTCCTTGTTTTGGTGCTGTAGTTTCTAATATTTCCGAGAGTCCTATGGAGTTGTATGTAAGTCTTCCATCAATGTAGTTAGTACATAGCGATTAAAGTGTCTCAAAATACTGTTCCGCCAGAAGGTTGACGGAGTCACTGTCGTTGTTGGTTGGGCACTTAGAATTTAGAAACTCAAAAACTCCGAGTTTGGCTTGTCGAAAAGAAGCTGCACGATGGTATAAGCTTTTCGGATCAAAGGTAAATATGTCAACTGGCTTTATCTGATACTGGAGCCTGTTTGTTTGGATTGCTTGTATGCGCTGTTGCTACCAGCTAGTCCGTTTTCCACCAAGTGGTACTGTGGAATTACAGTTTACTTCATTATTAGTACTGTTCTAATAATATACTTAATTCTAAAGTTGTAGATTTGTCATGATGTAACTGCCTAATCTATAATATCCTACGTGGAAGTCACATCATTGTCTACTCTGACTCATCGTATCATAACAATTACCAATATATGATGGAGAACACATTCAAATTAGAGATAGAACATCATATTTAATATGAGTAAAAACAAGTTATACAGAATGACCACGTCCGCAAGACTGAGCCATGCCACGCGACTGGATTTAATTTTAAATGAATATCCCCGCATTCATAATGATTGACCTTCTCATAGTGTTACATATTGAAAGTCTATTTTCCCAGTTATCTCATGTTCAGCTTTGAGGGTTGCGGTAAGAATACAATAACACTAAGGTATCTATTGTGGCGTAGCAAAAGAAGACTGATATTATCGATGACTTTAGTTTGCTTATAATTTTGGGGACCGTTTGTGGA